TTAGTCCAGGAACACCTTTGGGACCCAAGGTTATCCTAAGATGTGACCAGAGTAACCGTGATAGGACTTCATCCCCTTTCCATCTCTGATTCTATACTGACCAAACTTTCTGCTGACTCTGCCCAGCTTCCTCTTGGATGCTAACTGTAAAGCAGAGCACTGATTTCCACTTTATGTTTCAGTGTGATAGTAGCCTGGAAGTTAAGACAGAATGTCATGTTACGGTTTCTCTTAACAGGTACTCGCAAGATGGAATATAAAGGGAACAGCTGGCACGAGACGTGCTTTATCTGCCATCGGTGCCAACAGCCGATTGGAACCAAGAGCTTCATCCCCAAAGACAGTCAGAATTTCTGTGTGCCCTGCTATGAGAAGCAATTTGCTATGCAGTGTGTTCAGTGCAAGAAGGTGAGGTTAATTAATTGGATGCATCCACTTCACAGGGCACTCCTGTGGTGTTATTAAAGCCAGAGCTTGAAAATTAAAGCAACCAGTCTGAAGAGGGGAGATTGATTTACCCATAAAAGTTCTCCGTGTGAGTCAGACGTTACACAGGGACATTAAGTTTCTGACTTACATGAGAAGCCTTCCTCAGGAAACCAATCTTGCTTCTTCAGACCTGTCACTTTCACACAAGCAAGTGATGTAAAGAGTGATGTAAAGCAATGTAAAGAGTGAGCCCAGCATATGTTGAATAAACACCAGGACCAATAGGGGTCAAGTCTCTCTCCTTACAGTCTAATATTGAGTATGTACCAGAGAAAACCTTTGAATCTTGCTGTCAATTCCCCTGCACCTTGCTGAAATCTGAAGCAGTGTTGAGGTGATTAGAGAGGCAGCACCCTTGCTCACAGATAAGACGTTATGATATGTGACTTTGCCTATAGATAGTCATTATCACTATGCATGATTCTTTACACCAAGAGCTCATTAAATTTAAATGTGTTATTTTCGGGGACAAATTCCCCTGCACCTTGCTGAAATCTGAAGCAGTGTTGAGGTGATTAGAGAGGCAGCACCCTTGCTCACAGATAAGACGTTATGATATGTGACTTTGCCTATAGATAGTCATTATCACTATGCATGATTCTTTACACCAAGAGCTCATTAAATTTAAATGTGTTATTTTCGGGGACAACGAGTTATGTTTTGAGAGACGACAGGTAACATTTACTCATTGAGTGGAATCCTATTAGTGTTTGCATAAGGTTTGTGTAACTACCTTATTGCTAATTGTGACTAGTTGCCAAGCTGCTTAGGTACATCTCAGTCATGTACTTGGTTACAGACCTGACTAGACAGTTGAGATTTGTCTCAGTGCTTCATCAATTAGCCATAATTAGCTGTGGCAAGTTACACAAACCTTGTGCAGACATTAATAGAATTCTGGCCATTATTTTTTTCCCCAGTCATTATTTCTGGGTGGCACCCCTCCCATGCATTTTGAAAGGCTTTTATTTTATTTATTTATAGGGGATAGGGAGACTAAAAAAAGATCCTGTCACTAAGAAGTTCCCACAATTCCTAGTGGTTAATATTTTTTGAAAGGGTAAAATAATAACTAGCTGGCTGTGGAGTCAGAGGTTCGGATTTCAGTCCCGCACTGTGCATTCCAGAAGAGCCAGCCTGTGTAGCCTTGGGCAAACTGCACAGTCCCAGGACCCCGCCAGAAGAAGGGAACAGTAAACTATTTCTGGGTACTCAGTACCTAAAAAGTCCCTGGAAAGAGTTGCTGCAAGTCAGTATTGTCTTGGCAGTATAAATTTAACAACAAATGCACCAGCTGTTTTACAAAACAGTTCCAATGAGGTGTCCCTGCTAAGAAGTTTACAGTTTAAAATTCTGTGTAGGAGAAACAGTCAGAGGAAGGCAAGGGAGGTGAACAGAAGTGTAAACAGAAAGAAAATGTGTAGTGGTACCAGCCACGCAGATAACCTGGACTGAGCGATCAAATGCAGAGGAAGGCATCCAAATCACTGTGTTCCGGCAAAGGTTTCTTGGGAGAGAGGAGGGGTGAGAAGTACAAAAGGATGAAAGATGCTTTGATTAATTAAATGCTTTTTTAAAGCCTAGGGGTGTGTCTGGACTATACTTTTATCATGCAAATCCCCTGCCTCATCCACAGAATATTGTGGGAGAGTAGTCCACATCTCCCGTTTGCTATGTCCACTTCTTATTTCTTTCCACACAAAAAATTCAGTTAAAGAGGAGAAGGTCTCTTCTCTTTAATGTCTGATGTGTAGTGTTTGGAATTGTTAGTCTGGAAGAACCCTTCAAAGCTACTTGACTATTTCTTTGAAAAATGTTTTGAGGATAGAGAAAATGGAAGGCGCACAACAAATAACTGTCTTTCTTTCTTTCTTTCTTTCTTTCTTTTCTTTCTTTCTTTCTTTCTTTCTTTCTTTCTTTCTTTCAGCCAATCACAACAGGGGGAATTACTTACCGGGAGCAGCCATGGCACAAGGAATGTTTTGTGTGTACTGGATGCAAAAAGCAGCTGTCTGGACAACGTTTTACTTCCCGGGATGAGTTTGCCTATTGCCTGAATTGCTTTTGCAGCCTCTATGCTAAGAAGTGCGCAGGGTGCACTAATCCAATAAGCGGTAAGCATCTCATCGTTACCCCCTCTTTTGTTTTTGGAAAAGGCAAAGAACCCCATGCATCACAAGAAATGGCAATATAGCCAATCAGTACAGAGAGAGCAGGACACATAACTAAATGTCAGAGCTGGGTCTGATGGAAGGGGCAAACTAAGCTGCTCGCACTGGGTCCCCCTATAACATTAGAAGAGGGAAACAGCACACTTGCAGAATCCAGTTGGGTCTTCCCAGCTGTGAAAGCAGTAGCACAAGGTTTCTTGGACACATATCTTCTTTGGTCCATTAGCACACTGTTGCTTGCACAGCTAGAAACTGCACTGGCTTATCTCCTCATACTCAGAATCTAGAACCAGGTGCGCATGGGTGCAGTTAAGATTTGTGGAACTGGAAGGACACGGGACACAAATAAGGGGCTTATTTCAGTCACAGAAACTTGGAAACACACAACAACAATATGGAAGAAAGGTACAAGAATTCAGGATTGAAAAAAAAACGATTGCAATTATTTTTATTATTTTAAAAATCTCATGCGTATGAATTTTGGGGTTATCCGGAAGAACTGAAGCACTGCCAAGGAGCCATGGTGAACAATCCTTTTGATTCTCTACTGTGTCTCAGTCCCTCAGGGACATTGTGGGAAACTAAAAACATGGCTAGAGCCAACACTGCTTAAAATAGCGTTGCTCATGTGCAGATAAGCCCACCAAGGGCCAATGAATGGAGGATAGGACGCAGTTGAGGACACTTTGCTGAGGCCTGGAGATGGCTCTGTCATCCTGCCCTCCTCATGGACATCTTGGTTGCATCAAGCATAGTCAGAAAAAGAAGTACTAGATGGATTTTTTGTCTGATAGAGCAGGTTCTTCTTCTGTGTTGTAAAACAACTGTATTGAGGGAAGACTGGAGCATTGAAAAGTTATTTTTTGGACTACAACTTCCAGAATTCCTAGCTAGCTTATGGAGAACTCCTCTGTGTATAAAAAGACATCCTTTGATCTACCACTTATGGGCTATCTTTGACTGGTGAGAAAATAGATATACTTATTTCATTCTGTTTAGCTGAGGAAATCATCAACCAAAGCAAGAGAAATCATTACATTTAATCTTGAAATACAAAAGTGTATTTTTCTGAGGAGCATACGAGGATGAATATTTTATTTTTTTAAATAATGAATAGGAAAAATTGTGTAATCCATTCATAGAAAGGAAGTTCTGGTACAAAAAGCTGCAAATGAGGAAAGCTGTTAAATTCTCCAGAACCTTCAATCAGGTTTAAAATTTGGGGCAAAAACAAACAGAACAAAAATTGGGCCACTCGTGATATCCATGGGTCTTGAAACCAGACGGCCAGCTGGCAAGGAGCAGTTTGCAGATTCCACAGGAGGCCCTGGTGTCAATTTTGTCAGCATTCAGAGACTCTTTTCTTTGCAAACAAAAATAAGGTTTGGACTCTTCTAGTCTCATCCTGGAACACTGCCATAAAATAAGGGTCAGAACTGTAGGTGTCCAAGCTAGGCTTTGTTTAAAAAAATACTGTAAATTATTGGCTGAAATTATATGCTAAACTATGTTTAGCATAGTCAGTTGCACTAGAGGAGGCCCACTGAAACAGTGGAGATTTGGTGAGTCACCTTCTCCATATGTCCCATTGATTCAAAAGGGTCTAATCTAGTTGTGACTTAGTAGGCTAAAGTAAGCTGCAGCTTATTATGCTAAGCAAGAGGATTTCAGCCAGTATGTTTGATAACTAGGTCTTCTGTAGAACTGCCAAACTTCACTAGACCTTTTTTACAGTTTCGATTCAAGAGCCATGGGCTTTCACATCTGGCCCAAGTTTTGAACTATGTTAAATCCAAATTTTATGCCATCTTCTCACTGAAACAGTGAGAAGAGTTCCCAAAAATTGAGAAGAGTTCCAAAGCTCACCTTACCTGTAATTTTTCAGTGATCCGATAAAGGCGTTACCTACAGCAGAATTTTGATTACACTCTAGCCGCCTAGAGTGGTCTTAATCGACTAGATAGGCGGGATATAAAATAAATAAATAAATAATAAACAAATTATATTCCGTTTTGTGTTGAGATGATATTATGCTTCACCTCCAAATGTGATATTGCTAGTACAATGAAACCCAAAAGTTGGCCTTGTTGGTATGAGATCTCACTGCAGATTCTGCTGGATATATCTCTAGAAAGATATGATTTCATTACACACACACACACAAAAAAAACCCACTCATGCAAGGACTGTCTTCTTCAACTAATCCCATGTGCAAACACAAGTTTGAAAGTCACACCAAAACTGACTGGCCAAACTGTTTCTTTAGGAACTGACAGGAATCTAGAGTCCTGCACATAAAATCAGCCATGGAAATTCTATAATTAACTGAAGACCTTTATGTTAGAGATAGAAAGTGAAATGTTACAGATAGAAGGTGAAATTCATTATTGTTCCAGAGACATAATTCAGGCAAGTCCTCATGACTGAGCAGTTGTACTTGCAAATGAAGCCCATGTTCACTTTCCCAAGACCAATTACAAAACAAAGCAACCTGGTTTGCAAACTGGGGGGAGAGGGGGAGAGAGGAAGTCTCCTGGTATAACAGATGCTTTCAGAATGTAAGGAATTATATTTTTTCCAACAATTGGCTGTCTGTGCTCCAAGACACAACATGCTTAAGTCCATAGGGTCTCCTTTACAACTAAAATTGGGGCATTTGTTCCTAATGATTTCATATGGGGAGGGGGATGTTTGATGGGTTTCTTCTGAGAAGTTATTTTGCTTTTTCAGGACTTGGGGGAACCAAGTACATCTCCTTCGAGGAACGACAGTGGCACAACGACTGCTTCAACTGTAAGAAGTGCTCATTGTCCTTAGTGGGTCGTGGTTTCCTCACTGAAAGGGATGACATTCTCTGCCCTGAATGTGGAAAAGACATTTAAAATTGGCAAACAGGTGATAATAATATATAAGGCTGTTGTTGCAAATGCATATATTTTCTAAAATGGCTAAAAATGTGTATGGTTTTTGATTAAAAACAGAAGATACAATGTGTTGTTTTTCCCCAGCAGTACAGTACGACCCGCTTATCAATGGGATAAATATCCACTGATTCACTTGTCCACGGTCTGAAAATATTAAAAATATTAAAAGAAAAAAAATCCAGAAAAAATATTTTCACACGTATTACCAGAACCAGCCACCAGAGGGAGCCAGAAACTGTGCTATGAATACTTGTTAGTGTAGAATACATAGCATTGTCTCTTGACAGTTCTGGTAATGCATGTGGAAATTATTTTTTGGCTTGGAACCAATCCCTAGTGGATATGGGCGTCCTACTATATATATACAGTATAAAAAAATATATATTCATCTTCTATATTTTTCTTTTCTAGATTCTAAAAATGCACTAGAAAAGATAAAAGCAAAAAGGGATAGGTGATTTTTACACCGTACGCTTCAAGACCTGTCTAAACACAAAGTTGTGAGTTGTTCAGAAATTACCCATTTACATTTCTATTTAGCAGATGGTTTTCAGAGCATCTTGGAAGAGTACCGTGGCTGCTAATTTTGAGTGTTGATAGATCAAGAATCAATAGATACGGTATGTTGTCCAAGCTGGAAAATGTTTAGGTGATAATATGTAGGTTTTTGTAGACTCAACCAGTAGTAGAACATGTGCTATGCCTTACAACAAGGGATTATGGTTGCAGTTCTGTGCACTGTTGTTCTGAAATAACTCCTTTTTCAATATGAGGGATTTGTCTTCAAGTAGAAGTACACAGGATCAGACTGCATGAATTTTAAATGGAACACATTATTGCATGATATTGCGAGATTATTGCACAAAGTTCAGTTTCTCAGATTTGTTTTGAAATGTCATTTCACCTTGTATTTTATGCAATATGAAAATGTATTTCTAACATGTTGGCAGTATTTTGAGGAATTTTGACAACTGAAGATTTTCATCTAATAAATGTTACCATTTAAGGAAAAGCTTGAATTGTGTTATGTTTAGAAACTACAAATTAGTTTAAATAGCAAAGAAAAGATTAAACCTTTTAACATATAAAAAGGGCTAATTTCCCTCTGGAAGCCAAATTTCATGGAGATCATTACGAAACCAAAGTAAATTTGGAGCAGTGCAAACCAAAACACCTGGAAAAACACAGTGAAGTGTCTACCTGCTCCATTTGTAGACAGAAAATTGCTTAATTTCTGAAATACTGACTCCCCCTTCTCAAAAAAAATGATTAGGCAACAATTTTTGAACTTAGGTCTGCTGAATCTATCCAATGCACCGGACCACACTAGGTACTCTACAAGGTTTATTCTACCTGGAGCTAATATAGGATTTAGGGCTTTATTTCTTAGATTACACATAGTCTAAATATCAAAATGGATGTAAGATCTCTGATATGGGTGTTGGGTTCTCCAGGAGGTGTCTGCAATGCAGAAATATTAGGCCAGAATCATACTGGGAAAAAACCACACACAACACTATCACGCAAGCTGGTTGTGTTCTCTGGCAGCATGACTGTGCACTGGTTGAAAAGTCAATTGCACAACAGACACCCCGCCAAAAAGCACAAACTGCTTACACAATTACCATTGCAAAACCATTTTTTTAAAAGCAGGACTTAGTTTTTCTGAACAACCTTTTTTTAATTTTCTTGGAAGAGTTGCATAAACATACTCCTGGTGTGCTACCACAATGAAATTGTGCAGGAAATGCTTTACTGTTTTTCTTTTGCTTTCCAAAACATACATGCAGACGAGAAGACAATGGAAAACACAATTTTTACTTACTAACAACTTGGCTACACTGCCGCTGCTGGTTAAGGCATCCTCCCCCCAACTAGTATTCTCAGACCATGTTTGCTTTGTTTTCAAGGCAAATATTAAACCTTGATACAGTAGGTAAATGTTTAATTTCCTATCAATCATATTTCTTGAGGAACCCAAAGATGACAGGTGTCACAGAGGATATGGATGCCGAACAAATGTGAAAGTTCTACAAGAAAACCAACCAAGGGAAGTGAACTCCAAGTCAATACCGAGTACTTTTATTTTCCTATTAAAAGCACATCATGATTTAAAGTATAAGTCTGTAGCACGCTGTTGAGTTCAGTGGGACTTATTCTCAGATGTGTGTGTACACCAGTGTAACCTTACTGTCTTACTTTTTCCCAACCAAGTAAACTGTTCTTCTGCTTGGAGAAACATCACTAATTGTGCTCTGCTTCAACTCAAACCACCTGAGATTCCTCTGAAACAGAAACCTCAAGTGCCATATATTGGGAATCTTTATATATTTCACAATAATTCAATAATATTGACCCATGTACAGTATTTAGGTTAGAGTTCTATTTAGGCTCCCACATAATTAATTTGAACTGCTAAATAACCTAAGCAGCTATGTAATTTTGTTTTCTCCACCACAGAATAATATTTTCTCAAATGCCATAATTCTGCTAAAAACACCTATTTATTGTATTTGTTTTTGCTTTCTAAGTTGCTCACAGAATATGCATTGATGAGTGGCAGTGTAAATCCTGTAATAAAAGGTAGAAAAAGTAATAATGCCTACTTATTCCACTGGGGTTTATCTCTGAGAATACACTTAGAGGATTGCGCTCTGGAGTTTATGCACAGTAGTAACTTAGCCACATTTATTAATTTCCACTTAGAGCTCTGGAGTTTATGCATAGTAGTAATTTAGCCACATTTATTAATTTCCACTTAGAGTTTAAAAACAAAATTACAAGTTAGCTTGACTCAATGTTGCCACTGAAACAATAACGACAATAAGCCATTTATGATGGATTCCTCTTCTGGCCAATTGTCTCTGCATCAAAGATCTTCACAGCCTCAGTTGTTCTCCGTTCACATATTCATAGGGTGAACCAAAGGATAATTTTAAGGAAGCAGCCCGATGGTTGTCATCCATGAAGTTGTCATGATGGAGAGGGCTTCCCCAGTGGATCCACGTAACTCCAGCAGGCAGTTGTCACAGCAGTGGCTCTAACAGACATCTAGCATGGTATGGAGAAATGCAATGCAGTGTTATCTACATCCAGAGCATTCATAGTGCCA